TTATTTATATATATATATATATATATATATATATATATATATATGTACGTGAGAGTTAGTAAGGCCATAATAAGTTAAATTTGTATATAACATGTTATATATTAATAAAAAAAGCATATGTCCTATTTCTATATTATTTCAAACTAATAAATATATCAAGAGACACAGTCTTGTCGCGTCAAATTCTTCTAGTCTTCAAACATATTGTCTACGTCTTACAGATTTAAATCTTATTCGAAGATTTATGCCCGGTTCCACCAACGTTGATTAATTTTAATCTCGGTTCAACGTACTCTTCATCTTTTTTTAGTTCTAAGAATTAGAAAAAGATGAAGAATAAGTTGAACCGAGATTAAAATTAATCTACATTGGTGGAAATGGGCATTATACTCTCAAGCAACACAATTTCTGTACATATAAGTTTACACTAAAGCAACATTTTTATTCTATAGAACAATTTTTTTCTATAAAAAATGATTTTATTAAAAACTATTTTTGCTTTCTTTTTCTCAATTTATTGTATTAATTTAAACAATACTTTTATGTGTTTTACATTAATAATATAGTCTCTGTACATAAGCAAAATATTCCTGAAAGTTACAGGAAGTAAACATTTCTTAATTATTTTTTATTTCTTCAAATTTGTGTGCTCATGTAGTACAATTTCATATGTATACTGTAATAGAAATTATTTAATTTTCAGCTTTTTTAAGAATACATCTTTATAAGAATATAACTTCTTATACAAAAAGTAGATATATGTGAACTCTTTGTTATATATCAGTTGAATGCCATCGGGAATAACAACATATGTCTATGTTTAAAATAACATTTATATATAGTGACATTATATTTTATCTATAAAATACGTATATATTTCTGCACACATTTTAGTGACACACAAAATTTACAATATTTATCTCCCAGCTATCTGTGACTACTTCCAGAATATAATAATGTATCTTTGAGAGTAAATCTCATTTTTGCAGTGATACACAACATATTCGATGTCCATCATAGTTCAGAAGTTTATAATAGTTATACAAGATTATAATTTGATCTAAGGATTAATACAAGTCACCTCTTCACATTCACTGCAATAAGGTAAGGCAACATATATGTAAAGTGCAGTATTGCAAATGTGACAGTGACAATCTATTGAACACACCTAATTTAAGCATAAATATTAAATTTATTTTATTGATGTCAATTCCTGAAGATATATAGAATATGTGTTATTTGGAGTTAGACTAAAGTGGTCATATATGAATTGCTTTGAAAACTATATCTCGTTTTAATAAATGTTTAATTTGTATAACAAAACAGGTATATAAGTACATATAATTCTATGAAATAGTAAAAACGAAAACTTTCAGAAGATTATATTGGTGAAAACAGTAGATGAATGTAGTATGTGTAAATAAACCATAAGGAATTATAACCTTTTGTCAAAATATGCAATCAGTTAAATTCAATATAAATAAGAGTGAATAACTGTATACTGTAATGTAACAATTACGTCTTAAGGATTTATGTGGATTTATGATCCATTCAAATTACAAATGTTTTAATAAAATCCAAAATTTTGTATTGAATATATCGTTCACAACATATCTGAAACCTTATTTTAACTAAACATTTTCTTTATATTTCTTAATAATATTTATCGATTTATCTACTATTCTTATCTACATAAGGATTAAACATCAATTTCAAAAAAATTATTGCACAAGTTTTAATCTGTTTTTAATTTGTCAGAATTATTTAAATATAATTCATTATATTTAAAGAATATAATAATGAAAATTTATTATATTTAAAATTATAATAAATTATAATTTATTATATTTAAATATAATTATATTTAAATAAACAAATCTCTTGTAGCAAAACAAAATATTGAATGTTTATAAAAATTTGTATGTTGCCAAGGAAAATGGAAGTTCATTAAAGGGTGACAAATTATCTAAGATTTTTTTGAACATAAACTATGTTTGCACCTATTTGTGCAAAAATGAGCTTAGCTTTTTTTTATTTAAGAATTGTCAACTTTATATTAATCTACTCGACGTCTTCCTCTGCCATTTGAGTTTGTGATACTAGTTTCTGCAAAAAAGCAAACAGAAAAGAAAAAATATTACCTTAAGAGATCTTAAAAGATTATCCTTTTTTATACAAATTTATACCTGGCCAACCATAGGTAATCGTTGTACCAAAATTTGGAAAATTGGTGGTGGCAGAGTTTTTTGCAGAACAGTTAACAATTGAGCTGGTTGTCCACATACTGCTACTGCATTAGCTAAATGCTCAATTCCACCTTCTATCTCTCCACAAGCAAGCATTTCTTCTCCAAGTTGTACCTAAATTACAAATAATAATAAAATATTAGATATAATTATATTTGATCAAACAATTTAAACATTAAAATTATATATTCATATATAGTTTGAAGCTCCGGAAACTTTCCCTGTCCTTAGGGAAACTTCTAAAAAATTTTGGGAAAATTTTTGAACCTTTCGCAAACTTTCACAGGACTTCAAACTATATTCATATATAAGCCACTAAAATTAATCCTAAGTTTTACCTCTTGCAAAAAGAATTTCTGCACTAATTCATGATCTCTTAAATCTGGTATCTTTGAAGAAGCTTTTTGTGCTTGTTTTTTGGCTCTTCTACCTAATAACATAAGATAAGAGTAAAACTTTTCTTGATGGAAATAGAAAAACAATTTAAATGTTATTTTATTAATTTTAAAAATTACAAGATGATATATTTGTGTGTGTGCAACTAATCTTAATACAATGATCAATATTGCGATAAGATTTATTGTATATAAATAACATCCTCTATATATAGGAAATGTGCACATGCATAAAACGTATGATATTAAAACGTGTAATATTAATCAAAATGATGATTAATATTACACGTATATTACATTATACAAAGAAAAATCATATTTGCTTTTATGAGAAACCGATTAGTTAATATTCATTTAAAATTCTTCGTAACAAAGTCACGCGGCTTGAGCGTGTCTAAAAATGTGTGAATAGAGTGGAAAAAAGGAGAATTGCCAAACTCACGTTCCCGGAGCTTTTTCTTGAAATCGGGATCGCTGCGGCGTTTCTGATCGAAATAAAAGCAATAGCCGACGAAAATTCCGGCGATGCCAACAGCTATGCCTACTGCGGCTTTGGACATCATTGTACTAAAGTGTATAAATTCCAATACTACGACAAAATTCACAAATCCTTCCTCGCACTCACGGCCATCATAGAAAAAGTTGCTTTCCCTATTGTACGCGCGCTAGCGATCCTCTATTCACAGCCTGGATATTGGACAAAATATGGCAGTTGCCGAATAACACACGTTATCTAACGGCAACGATTAACATCACTTAAATCGCCAGCCACGATAATATTTACTTTCGAAAAAATCGATACCATCTTTATCGACGATAAATATCGCGACGTCGAAGTTCGACGTGCTACCGCTTGACGTTTCATATACAAAGATGGTTTATATTTTATGGCCGTTGAGCTTGTGTTTCGTATTTGATGTAGTAGCGAAATATAAAAGGGTTTAAAAATATTTGTAATTAACGAAACATACAAGTATCTTAGTGATCCAGTGAATATGCCATTGATAAGGAAACCCATGCGATATGCTCATCAAGAAGGGCATACCGACGTTTGTTATTATTCTGGTGAAAAGTAATTAGAAAAAGTGGAATTAAATATATTATTTTTATGTGTACACATAATTTGTTTTAAGTTATTATTAATAAATATCTCTGTGATTGCAGGAGAGGTCTCATCACTTGTGGATGCGATGGAGATGTTAGATCTTGGTTAAATTTAATGGATGATGATCCAATCACTAGTTGCATCTCAGAACAAGCAATAACTGCCATTTCAAAGGTGATTAATAATTGTAAAGCATTAATAATAAAAGTTATTGATAATATAATGCATGTAAATGCTATAAAAATATTCTACAAAAAGTTATTGTACCATAAAAATTCTTTAAATAGATAAATAAAAATGACTTTACATGTAAGTTTTTTATTTCAGAATGGTAAAATTTTTGTAGGAAATGATAATAATACAGTGCAAATACTTACTTATCCAGATTTGGAGAAGGAAGGAATAGTTACTAGGTTTGCAGCACCAGTCTCAGCACTAGCAACGACGAAAGACAGTAATTTAATAATATCTGGTTCTTGGTATGTAATATATAAAACTTTATATTTAACATTATTTATGTACTAGTAATAGAATAACTTTTTCTTTTTAAAGCGATATGCGGATACATGTTACAAACATCAATACATTAGATAGTATAGAATTAGAAGGACATCAGGCACCCATTTTAGGTTTATCTTTGGATCCAAAAGAAGAATTTCTGGTATGTATTATGTATTATATCTTAATATCTTTTTAGTAAAAGTAAAATATACCAAATTGCTTAAAATAAATATTTTTAGGCATCTTCCGGTGCAGATGGATCTATTCGAATATGGAACATTAAGGAAAAACAAACTGTACATGTTTGGAATAATATTGTGCCAAAATGTAACTCTTTTTTCACAGCAAAATCATATTCTACACCTTCTTTTAAGTGTACTGATGGTAGTTGCCTGGCATATCCATGTAACAAAGATATAGTTGTAGTAGAAAGATCATCCTGGAAGGAATTGTACAGATTGAAATGTCCTACCTTGAGGACTGTAAGTTACTCATGTTTGTTTTTTCATAGTTACAATTGATAGTGGATTACTGCTTTCTTATCTTTATACAGGAACTCAACATTTGTAAATTTTCTGAATGTGGTACACGTATTGCCGCTAGTTCACTGCATGGAGAGATAGTTGTTTGGAATGTAGAAACTAAAGAAGTAATTGGATATCTTGAACATGAACAAGATTCCAAAATCACAGCATTAGTATGGCACATAGATCATTCCGACGAAATTGCATTCTGCGATGCGCTAGGAAAATTAGGATGTGTTGATGTGGTAAATTTTATGTGTATACATATATTTTTATATATATATATTTCAGAATTTAATTAATCTCTACAATGTGTTTCAATAATTTTTTTAGGTAAGTGCTGGTAAATCTGAGAATGAGAAAATTTTGAATTTTGAGAGAAATGAAGATGTAATAGAAAATGGTATTGCTTTAACGGACGATGATGACGATGATATGGAAAATGTGATATCTTTGAATAAAATTAAAGCCTCCGTCAATCTGGAAGATGATCAGAAGAGTCACTCCGATGCAGGCTCTGAAAAGGCTCTTTGTGATGCCAAAGCTTTTATGCCTAATATAAAATTGCAATCATCTTTCCAACCAGGATCAACTCCCTCTCATTTATTATCGTATTTTATGGTAGAATATAACACTTATACTATATACATTTTTATAGTAATCTTTTATAGCAGAGTTAAATTTATTCTTTGTATGATATTTATAGATGTGGAATGATGTGGGAATGGTTAGGTGTTTTTCATCGGAGGATGGAGAAGAATGTAGCATTGAAGTGGAGTTCCATGATGTTACAGTTCATCGCAGCATGCATATAAGTAATTATTTGCGGCACTCTATGGCTGCCTTGTCTACTCAAGCACTAGCTTTAAGCTGTGCATCTTCAGATGAGGGACCTAGCAAAGTTGTTGTGATAGCTCTGCAAGGTTGGTTAGTTTATTATATACGGAAAACAAAAGAAAGCAAATAAAATTTTTATCAAATAAATGTCCAATAAACTCTGTTATTTCTTCGCACTTAGGTTGGGGTTCTGGAAACAAAGAATGGTCGCTGGAATTGCCAGAAGATGAAGAGAGTGAATGTTTGGCAGTTGGCGATAATTTTGTAGCAGTAGCAACATCTAGGAGAAATTTAAGGATATTTATGATAGGTGGAACACAGCGTGAAATCTTAGCCCTGCCTGGACCTGTAGTTGCAATGAATGGTTTAGGAAATCATCTTGTGATAGCTTATCATGCTGGAGTTGGTAAGAAACTTTCATTTATTTTACACAAAAATCAATAACGAAATAATTAAATAATTTTTTTTGGGGGGGGGGGGACAAAAAGGTCCAGCGGGTGATCAGAATATAAATCTATTATGGATACAAATACAAGGAGTACATTTGCGCAGCCAAACTTTAATGCTTCCCCTTTCGCCAGCATCGGATCTTATGTGGTTGGGATTATCCGATATTTATTCTCCTACTATAATGGATTCTGATGATGTCATCAGAATATACGATAAGAGATCTTGTCAATGGAGAGTGTGGTGCGATGCGAATATACAGGTATTTTAAATCATGAGTGAAGTTCTCGGTAATCTGTACAATTGGAGATTCTGTTTCAGGACAAAGGTAAAGCGGATCATTACTTCGTAATCGGTGTGAGCGAACAAGAACGGAATATGCGTTGCATTCTTTGCAAAGGCAGTTATTATCCACCGACAACTCCGCGTCCGATAATCACCGAAGTAAGTCTGTCTGCGCCTCTCTGCGAACCGAAATCTGAAAAAACGGAGAAGGAACGTAAGCTGTGGGAGATGGGAACCAATCCGTTGGATGAGACTGAGGCATTATTAACTTTGATAGCAGTAAGTAATTCTTAATAACGTTTAGTGACAATATTTACTTTATTTGATTGTTGAATGCACGGTTTTTTGTTAATTTGCCCTATATAATTTAATCGTTCTTGTAATCAGCTTGCCTGCAGAAGCAATTTGGAATACCGTGCAGTGGATATATGCGAGCAAATCGCATCAACTAGAGCAATAGATTTAGCCATACGATACGCCTTGCGCATAAATAAAATGGCATTGGCAAATAAACTGGAAACGATCGCTGATGCAAAGTCGGATGCCAAAGATTCAAGGGAAGAAGTTACGGAAAATCATCAAGACACTTTTACAAACAACGATAATAATTCTAGTATTAATAGTCAAGAAGAAGACAATGTGCCTTTACTATCTCTTAAAAAACCGGAAGTGGAGATTAAACCGTTGGTTATGAGTCAGATATTAAAAAGAACAAATCCATTTTTAAAAGCCAGTAGTTCACCTTTATCACCAAGAGGTAAGTATTATTTCTTCTTGGATTCTAAAGGATTGTTAGAAATATTTTCTTATTGTATTGCATTGTATTGCAACAGGTTTAGACGGCTTAAACACTTTACCAGAGAAACCTCAAAAACCTGCATTAATTAAAACTGCACCTGTTAAATCAAAACCGAAGTCTGAGCCTAAGAAAGAATCGTTCGTTAATTGGCACGCCAAAAATAAAAAGAGTTTGCAGGAAGAATTTCCCGAAATGAGTGCCGCCGAATTAATTAGAGTCGGATTGACACGATACAAAGAAGAGACAGCGGAGTCAAACTCAGATAACGCGAGTGGATCTTCAGAGCTTTCAAAGAAACGAAAATTATCGGATTCGGAGAACGGAGACAGTAATGAAGTGAAGCGATCTATAAGCAGCAAACTCAGCGCGTTTGCATATAACAAGTAAATCTTATGTTATCGGCTACGAAAATCGTCTTAATCCTAGAATTTACAAGGTTTTTAACAACTTAATTAAAATATGGGTGATTTGTTGGATTTCCAAATTTTATATAATAAAAAAAATTTGAAAACACCGGATTTTAATGTTATTGGTACATATTTTGGTGCAATTTTGTCATATATATTTAGCTTAAAAGGCACATCTCTCGAGAAATAAGAAAAAATCTCTAATATAAAGTACTAATGGAAGCAATCCAACAGATACTCCTTGCATACACCGTGTGTATGTTCTCAAATTATATATACAATACTTGTAGTAAATTTTATTTATCATTCTTTTTATCTTTTGACATTAAATGATATCAATTATAGAAACATCTTACACTTTTTCTTTTCTTTTTATATTTGTGTATTCGTACTGTTATGTCAAAAAAAAAAAAACTTCTATTAAGATTAATTCTCAGGGACTCTAAGTATAGCAACTAAGTTTAGCATTACATAGAGTTCTATTAAAGACTGTGAGATAAATCACTCGTAAACCGGTAAAGCGGCATTAATGTGCTAATCAGATAATGATTGGACTTGAATTGTGAATGAAGTGTCGAGCGCATCGTTGCATTTGTCCTTCTGCGTCGATAAAGCAGAATGGTGGCAAACTTAAGATCTGTTTTTAGTTTGCCTCGGTCTCTCGAGCATTCGACACGGTAATATACGGCGGTAGGAATTGTGCACGTTGACCCAAAAATAAATACGCACGTCGACGGAGACGGTAGTGCATAACCATCGGCCGAACGATGAAAGGTAAGTTACTTTTGGCTTTGCTGATGAGTTTAGCATAAATTAAGTCTTTCAAAAACATGACATGAGAGCGAATACGCTAGATATATTTTAGACGGTTAGTGTGCGTGACACGCGTATTTGTAATTGCATCACCAACGATTTATATAGATGAAAACTAATTTCCATAATACATTTTTTCGCGAAGAACAAGTACATCTGTCCATTCATTGCGTTCCCAAATTAGATTTAAATATGATAGATTGTGACGATGCCAAGAAATCTATGTAACTGATCATTTTCCGTCTCGTCTTTTTCTTTCCTTTTTTTAATTTTACATTATAACGATGGTGTGTTGAATTTTATGCGTGATTCTTTATTTTAATTTAAAACATCTTACAGAATCGGAAACTGAATTTCCGGTGATAAAAAATATAACGCGAAACCGCATATATTATCGTTTGCATATAAAATGCATTGCTTGAAGTCATATTTCTTGAAGCCGTTTTACTGTTTCCTTGAGCTGAATAAAGTATAATTGTATTTAATTGGTTTTTTTTAAATATACGTAACTAATCATGTCAAACGATTTTACATCGGCCGTCACGAAAGAGAAATTCTTTTCCATACTTTAATACTAACTTAAATGTCTTTAAGAAAAAACTCGTTCGATTATAATGTTGCATATTATGCGATATTGCAATATCGAAATATATTTTATTAGTTTTAATAAAAATAATCCGACCAGTTTTAATAAAAGTAATCTTAACTTTACATAATAAAAAACGTTGTAACATAAATTTTTTTTCTATGACTGTGTTATAAAATAGCATTAGACTAAACATTTATATGGTATGCATTTTACAGCAAATAGTCGGCCATATAATCGATTCTTAATATTAAAGAAAATAGAAGAATGCTGCATGACATCGAGAAAAATTGGCGCGAAATCGGTAATGGCGCTATTGATTTTAAGTATCTATTTTTCTGCAATTTTTCTGCTTTTATATTATTGTAGACCGAAGCACTCTTATCGACAATATTTGTTATTTGCGAATACGTATTTTGTAACCTATGTATTCACGCTGTTCACGCAAATTAAACAGCACGCAAACAGATGTTCATTTTTATTTTTTTGAATTATGTTTGTAGATAGGCTTTACTGTTGTTAGAATTGCTTTGCGAAAATACAGAGAGGAAATCACTTGGAAACAAGATGCTTCGAACGTTCAAATTAAAATTATCTTACAAGGATCTTTTAACAGACCGCTGATACGAATATTTTTACATTGCTGACAGATTTATCATTTTTCTCGTGAGATACGAGGCTCGCGCCTATGCACGTATTATGTAGATTGCACGTATGCAATCTATGTACTTTCGATGTAGCAAGCACGATGAGCACGGTGACAATATACTGCTTATGCAAAAGCTGCTCGTATCAGCTTACTTATTTGCATTTAGTAGTTCGCGCATGAATACGCCCTGAGTCACTTACGAGTCACTAAACGAGATTTCAATGTCTTTCAATATTTTAAATTCGATACTTATCTTGAAAACACATGCGCTTGCAATAAAATTAATGATTTACGTATCAGTTGTAAATTATTTTGAAAACATGAATATTAATCTTTCACTGTACGTGATATATATGCATAATATATTCAGCAATTGTGCAAACTCGATTTCAGATATTTCAACTTTATTTACACTTTTGACATTTTTTGATAATGCGAAATATGCTGAAATTAGAAGGGGGTTACATGTATTAATATTCATATATATTAATATTTTAACAATATCTTTTCTGATCGATATTTATTTTTATCTGATGCGTTAATATTTAATCATGATTTATGATTGACCTGATAATTCATCGTAACATTTCCGATTTTGGATTTTTCGAAGCGTCGATCATACATAAAAATACGACTTTTTTAAATAAAATTGCAATGACACGAAATTACAATAAATTATCGCGAAAAAGGAGGATAAAATCTATGAATGACGTTAGTATTTTGCATGTCTATAATAATTATTTTTAAACGAAGGGCATTTTGTAAGATGTATAAAAATATGAAAGAATAGATGATTTAACATATACATCGTTTGCGCACGTGCTTGTCATGCAATTTTTCATTTACCTTATTTGAAAGATTAATTATATTTCCTGTTTTGAGAAATCTTTGAAGTGGAACGAAGCGTTAATTATATATAAAAAAATGATTTTCCCTATTGAAGTCATAATGAAACTATTTATTGCTGCATGTGTCAATGTGATCATAATTAATTCATTCAGCCTAAATTCGTTTCATTAAAAGTAATTAAAGACACATCCGTTAATAGATGTCTAATAAAAAGTATTATTACGAATAATCGGTATGCAACGAATAATTGATTTGTTTTACATCGAAAGCAAAATGCGGTTGTATTTGTCAACAAAAATAAAAATGTGTACACTGCAATTTTTTGTTATCTGCTAATAAGACAGTTAATTAAGACAGTTTATACTTAATTTTGCATATAACAGCAGTAAATTGCTTCCATGAAGTAGATGCATTGCATTATATTTACATGGAAAGAAGCACTTGATTTGGTTGAAACAAAATGTCATATCGCATATCGCAAAAAGTTTGAGTGCTGTATTGATAAATTTTAATTGTTCAACAAAATTAGATTTCAGATTAGTATTTGGCACAATTTGTAGTAGATATTTCAACAAAAATATTCTTTCCGTGTAAATAACAAAAAAAATTTTCTTGTAAAAACCAAAATTTATTTATTATTTATCATCACAAGGCCGAATAAGTAATTAGCAAAAATATTTTTCGACTTTTGAGTTTATTAAAGTATAATGTTTCTTCTTTTGAAATATTAACGTAAATTGATACAAATGCTGAAAATATTTTGCGTGACGATCGCCGTGACGGATATTGTTGCATGCGCTTATTGTGTTACCGGATCAAATATACCAGTAGGTACGATGTATTACAAACTACATACTAATGTATTACAAATCGAAATGCACGTGTGTGACCACATATATATGTATATGTAGCCGTTGCGTTGTGCAATGACACCCATAATTATCTTGTGTTAGGTAATACTGATTCTTGCATTCGAGTTTCGTAATACCCCTGCGGTTTGCAATAAATTGTACCGGGCATTGACATTCAAGACGATATAGCTACTTATAACAAACGACCACGCTATTACATCATTTAACAAAGCATTACGTATCTGAAGTGTTACCTTCGTACAGCAGTAAAAAAAAACATCTGTTGAAACGTATCAAACAATGCAAGCGCAGCGGAAATATAATTCGATTTATGTCGTCAAGTCATAAAGTAAACAATTAAAATATATACTTACTCGTAGATAATAATGACACATACTAATGCGCAATGCGATAATAAACGTTAACAATAAATGTAAATCTTTCTTACAATGTTTTAAGTGCGATATTTTTCGAGATCTAATATAAAGATATCATTTTTTTCTTTTGTAAGATTTAACGAGTTTCTAGAATATGATGCCAAGATTGTTAATTGCTTTTTAATTGCTAATCGCGTCAATAATCTTCAGTAACTAAATCTTCTAAGAACAATTAATCATGAGAATTGGGATTATTAGCAGTTGTGGAAATGCTGTGCCTTATTATTAGATTTAGTTTGCGGGGCTTGCGGTTTAGATTACAGTTCAATATAGAGCGATCGATAGAAACTAATATCCCGTTGTAATGTTATTAACCCCATTTCGCATTGTCTCTTGTTTATTCGTAAGTAATGCGATACAAAAATGACTATGATACGTATGTAAATTACATAACATAATTTTGCTTGTGGAGTAAAATTCTTTCTTGTATTTTAATCAAGAATTTTATAGCAAATATTGCTTTTATTTTAAATTGTATAGCAAATTGTAGCACATTTGGTGTTATTTTTGTGTAGTCTACATTTTTCCACTTTATATCAGGTGTTAATATGTATTTTCAGGTCTCGTGCCACTGGACACTGTTCAAGAGGCCATGGGCGCCATGGGCCCATGGCACATCGTGATCGCAGTGGCAGTTTCCCTCGTCAAATTTCCAGTAGCTTGGCACCAGCTCTCTATCGTATTCCTCGCACCACCCACCAACTTTTCGTGCAGCGCGCCGTTGTCAGCAACTAATGAATCTATGATAATGAAGTGCGAAGTCGACGTTGGGAATGGCACTATAGAGAAATGCACCGAATTCAGATATGATAAGCGAATATTCCGAGAGAGTATTATAACGCAAGTGAGTTATTGTAATTTTATCGAACTATAAATATTTCGTTATTTAATTATATATAAGACATATTTCAATTTGAAACAAATTGTGTAATAAAGAGATGCATTATACATAAAAGGAAGACAGTTATATTACCGTTATATTGATCTTTTCAGTGGGATTTAATATGCGACAGAGAACAATTGACGAATTTAGTACAATCTTGCACGATGTTTGGTGTATTAATCGGCAATTTAATCTTCAGTATAATGGCTGATAAGTATGTTAATTCAAATTGTGTGTGTGTGTATGCCAATTAAATATATTAATTTATATTTATATATAACTCTTATATGAGTGACTTTATAATTCTATAAATCTACATAAAATACGCATTACTCTTGCGTTTTTTTAATATTATTTATATCATATTTTTTATATTTATTTACAGAATTGGTCGAAAAAAGCCGTTGATGATTGCAATCGCATTGCAATCGGTGACGGGATTCATGAGTGCATTCGCGCCTTGGTATGAATTGTTCTTGGTATTGAAATTTATTTGTGCTCTAGCTACTGGCGGAACAATGCTTGTTAGCTTTGTTTTACGTAAGTCAAGTGAGATAAAGTTACACCATAGCTGTCTACGAAATTAATTAATCAATTAATTGCAGTTATGGAGATTGTTGGAGTTGAATGGCGATCGATTATGTCAGTCCTCTTTCACGTGCCTTTTTTGCTCGGACATCTAATGAACCCTTTAATATCTTACCTCACAAAAACATGGTCTGGATTCCAAATGGCCGTCTCGATACCATCAATTTTTTTATTAGCGTACTATTGGTGTGTGTGCATAAATTTTCTTATAAATTAGCGGAAAGCTATTTTTGGTAAAACAATTTGCGAAGTATGAATTTCAACACATCAGTTGTTAAGAATTGACGTTTCGCAAAACAGGATTATTCCGGAATCACCGAGGTGGTTACTAGCGATGAGCAAACCTAGGCAAGCAGAACAGATTTTATTGAAAGCTGCCGGGCGAAATAAGATACCGGTGGAGAATGTGAAACTAGCTCTTGAAACTTACGAGAATCAGGCGGCAGTTCGGATCGCGAAAGGCAAGGAGAAACATAACATCACACATTTATTCAGAACTCCGAATATGAGAATGAAAACCATATGCGTGAGCATCAATTGGCTCGTTTGCGGTATTTGTTTCTTCGGATTGGCGCAATACATGGGTCATTTAGACGGCGATTTATTCATTAACGTTGCAGTTTCAGGTAATCCAGCTGCACTTTCAGATTATATTAAATTGAGTGATTTTCGGTTGCATATTGATAAATTGATATGATTTGCAGCTGCCATGGAACTACCTGGAACAGTAATAGTTCTGTTTTTAATATCACGAGTTTCTCGTTTAAAAATTTTGATAGGAGGAAATATCTTGTCTGGCATAAGTTTACTTTTGATAACTGTGGTGACGAACGCCAGTGTCCGGGTATTTCTAGCGTCACTCGGCCTTGTAGGTATGGCTATCAGTTTTCCAACCGTATATTTGTATAGTGGTGAAGTTTTCCCGACTGTTGTGAGAAATGTTGGCGTTGGCTTGGGAAGCATTTCTGCCAGAGTCGGAAGTATGATCGCGCCGTATATTGCCACAATGGTAATTTATTACGCATTTGTCTCATTAACGTCATTACACTGAAATAATCTGTAAATATTAATTTAGTATTTTGTAAAAATATATTGAAACATAATAATTTACATACAGGGTACTATTCAGCCTTGGTTGCCTCCCGTGATATTTGGAATAGGACCAATAATAGGTGCTGGACTATGTTTGCTTTTACCAGAAACGATGAATTGTGAATTGCCTGAGACAATAGAGGACGGCGAAAACTTTGGAAAGTATGGATTCTGCATAAATAATTCTATTAGCATTACAACATATCAGCGCAGCTCGTTTACATACTAAATACATAATAAATATTATAAATTTCAGGAAAAAGTCTCAGGAAAGTACCGTAACGTGATAACGTGGAAAATATGCACTGAAATGCATAATAACTTTCCAAAAATGTAATTGGAATATCACACAGAAATATGGCATAAATTTACTAGCTATTAAGTCTTTTGTTGCTAATTATTAATATATATTATCAAATTATCTAATTTTATACTTTAGACAAATGTTTTAAAATGATTTATTATTGATAATTTATTATATTTGTAAAAATTTTAATTTCAAAATTGTCACGAAAGAAAAAAAACATTTATATATAATTTATATTATTATTCATATATGCATACATATATCATATGCTACAATGTTTTGAATCAGAAAATTTTACATAACAATTATATATTTATATAACGTACATTGTATTTTTTAATAACGTATGATTTCATTAATGCTCAACTACATTATTTCTTAGCGCTAAATTTGATGAAGACGACATCTTGCAATTTATATGGTATTTTTGAGATTCAAAATATGCAGCAAAATCTATTTCTTAATTCGTTTCAATATCTAATTATTATATACAATTAATATTAATTATAATATATTATAACATTGACTGTTTACTTTTTAAATCGTAGTTCTTATATTAATATTGCAACACTGGCACAAACGAAATTATTGTTAAATATTTAATATTTAATAACAGTATTTAAATTGAAAATGTTAAAATAATGTCGAAAGTTTTACACAGCTTTACATTTACTACGAATTTTTGTACTAAATGACAATCATAAAAAATTCACTTCATTGTACATTATTCATACACAAATTACGAGATCTTATCAAAAAAAATATATACAATAATTAAAAAACTAAGTGAGTGATGTAGAGAGAAGAAATCTTTATACACACGGAAAAAATTTTGTATCAAAAATTATTATACACGGTAGTAGCCGCGGATCGAAAATTTTTATTATGTTTCACATGTGAAAACCATAGTAAAAATTTTTTAAATTTCTTCATGGTTTACTATCACACACAGTAATTTTTTATATAAAATTTCCTCCGTGCAGCTTTGTTATTTACAAAAGTTGCAATCCCAAATCGTAATGCACATTTATATAAAAATAGCAATTGCAAATGTAATATTTGTATAAAAAGAAACAAGTATTAATAAATAGAGGATCAAATCAGCCTTTTACGAGTTTCATATACCTTAGCGTTAACGCATACCGGTGTAATAACGACAAAGTGCAAAATCTGAACTACATAAAGTTGATATTAGATGACATCACCTAACCTGTTGTTTGACCCAAATAAAGTACTTTATTGGGCAATACATTCACCACATTATTAGTTCGTTTATGCACAGCATCGATCACCTGATTGCCATACTTGACAGTGCTGCTTAAAGATCCTAACCAAGAGGATACAATACTCTTTGGAGGCGTTTTCTCTGGGTTCTGTGTTGTGCCTAAAATATTTTTTTATTGTATACGTTTATCGCTTACCATTGCGTATCGTTAATAAAATAATAAAAAAAAATTGATAAGACAGAAAGTAAAATAAAACTTATAATTTTAAAATAAAACTCACCTATCAGAAATTTTATGATTGCTTTATTTACGACATCTGGTTTCTCTTGATGTGGGAAGTGCTGTGTCCCAGGTATGACTTTAACCCTAGACACCTCCACGTGTTCGGAACTTTGAATGATATTCTCTATCGTTACGAAAGGATCCATATTTCCGACTAACAGCAACGTCTTATTATCGATCTGTTGGCCATTATCTATATTCAATCTCGTGAATGGAAGAGTGCGATAATAATTGATTGGTCCTGTCCAGTCCTCTATAAAACATTTTTACATATACATATATAAGAAATGATGAAGGAAAAGTAAACATGATATAAAAATTACAGACAAAACTACAGACTTACAGATAAAGATCGACTTACCTTTTCTACTAAAAGCATATTTGTACGCCTCAACGTAATTTTTTTCTACACCGTTTTGAGATATTCGAAGATGTTGAAATGTATCGTTGATAATAGACAAGTCTTCCTTAAGCGCGTCTATTTCCGGAAGAAATGGCAATCTGCTAAAATGTATCCATCTGGAAGAACATCACATTATTTACATTAAAAACATATAAAGATAATTTTATATATTAAAAATAAGTAATGAAAGAAACGCAGATTTTCATGCAAATCAAAGATTTCGAAGGATACTTGCTTTCTATCTAATGCGGAGTCTCCTGACAATCTATTCCAATAGAGATTAGGGTGCGGGCTCGAAATAGCCACAAATTTGTAAACGAGGTCTCCATATAAAGCAACCATGTACCATCCTAAAAGTCCTCCTAAGTCATGGCCGATTATACTACACGATTTCACACCAAGAGATAAAATAAAATGTTTTAACTCATCTATTAAAATTTCGACATTGTAAGTTCGCTTGTTGACCGGTTTGTCGCTATCGCCAAATCCTTTTAAATCCATAGCCACTACCCTAAATAAATATTACAATTAGCATATCAATGTGTTATACGCAATTGCAGTATTTTATATAAATGTTATATTTTTATACAATACAAAACCTGAAGTGTTCTGCGAGGCATGGAATTTGTTCTCTCCAAGATAACCAGCAATCCGGAAATCCATGTAATAACAAGACGAGTGGTTTATTCTTATTTCCCGCTTCCACATAGTGAAATTTCACACCCTGTGTAAGAAAAAGTTCATTAAGCAACAAGAAGAAATTGCTCTATCTTTACTTTTAAAATCTGATTTACGTAAATTTACAAATTTTTATTTTTGTAAGTTTGAAATAGAAAGTAAACTTTAGAAAAGTAGAAAGAGCTTTTCACACACACAAGACTGTTTTACGTATATATTATTTATGAATAAGATAATGGTATCGCTGTAATTATGATAGTATAATTAATGCAGCATGAAGTATAATTGAATTATATCAGACTCTTGTAAACGCAACCCTTTTTCTTCATATTTTACAATTTCCCTTTGTTACAGATGGAATCCTCCATCTGTTTTCCAGACTAAACAATTAGATAATGTCGCATTTTTCAAATTTGCCGATAAAAAGGCAGACAATGAACTTGTGGCAGTTAATTTCGCAGTACTTCTTAATTGAATTGCGTTTAGCAGGCGCTAGTTTCTGCGAAGAAGTTCAAAGTACGAGAACGTATTCGCAGAAAACTTTTGTCATGTATAAAATACTGCGAATCTTTTGATAATCTAAATTTATTATTACAAAAGATTGCCGCATCACTCTCATAACTCTTTTTATTATATGGAATCATACATCAAACTATTACGAAAAAATTTAATTTAATTTAATTTTAATTTTAATTTAATTTTATTTATTATATATATGTATATGCAATATGTCGAAGTTCTGCCATTTCCTTGTGTACGTTTATTTGTTTCAACTCACAAATCGCATATCAATGTAAGAATACTCGTTTATCGCAATATGTTATGTGCAATATGTTATTCTTTTGCACTTGAGTGCATGTCATTTGCATTTGATATCATGAGATGAAATTGTCACATGATGTTCCACGTCAAATTATGACATATCCGATTCATATTACTTCAAATCTTAAAAACGTTTTTTAAGTGCTAAGAAAAAATGACACAAGTATAAACACTTTGGCTCATATCATTCGACAGATAAAAATATGACAGTTCAATACAAAATTGAGATAAATAGATGAAATATCTAAAAAAGTGAATTTTTTAACAAACGAAAACTGATTGATTTCTACATAAAATCCTTCGATTATATTAAAAGATCCAATATTAATTTGAAGATCAGTTTTACAGCCGGCAACAACACAAATAATTTCGAATGTAGCGCGATTTAAACCTGCTGTGTTACCGGGAGTGTTATCAGAGGTCAACTTCGCTCATATCTTGTATATAATGTTTATATTAATCTTGCATATTATATTTACTCACGCCATCCAGGCGCGTCACACATGACATATGATCCATATTAGTCTTACCTTGATTTTCACGTAGGAATGCGTGCCGAAGCTGTTATCGACCAGACACGGCGGTGGCTGATCGCGCTGCTGAAGCATGAAAAACTTCTTAGGATCCCATAGCCATCTGAGAAACCGTCTGACTATGAGATACAGGCCATAGATGAAAGACAGGAAGTGCAGCTCTATCGTTTCGAATATCGACGCGCGCACGATTTTGTCCTCCGCGGTGGCCATAATCAACAATCGAAGGTCAAAAATGCAATCGGAAGTCTGCTGTGGCAATCTACGCAGAGATCGACGAGAACCTGCTCGCTCCTTATAGCGACACTTGAAATATTTTCTGTACAAATAACAGACTCGAGTGCTTAAGTATGTATCTATGTGTACGTATTGGAACACGTGCACGTCGTCACACAGGCAAAACAGAGAGTGAGATCACGGTCATACAGAATGTCGCGCTCCGAAGAAGACTTTACGTTTCTTTCAGAGATGAATATAATGGCACACAACACTAATACTCAGAGTATCACGAATTGTCTAAAATAAATATTTTTAAGTGCTGGACACAGTGTTTCTAATTTAAAATCTAAAACACAATATGATATAGTCTAATTACGAGACATATTACCTTCAATTTTAAAACACAATTACACTCACGATAAAGAAAAATAAAGAAGCTATACTTTTTTGTTTGAAAAACACGATGTTAAATAGTGTAACAGCGTATTAAAATTTCCGTGTCACGCACGATTTTTATTACTGAGTGATGCAATAACTTTCGATAAAAATCAGTATGTGGCGCCTCGCAAAGCTCATTGATGTCCACGTCAATCGTGCACTGTCGCGTTGGTGGAGAAGATATCACTGGCTGGAGTTTTCGAACGTACGAGCGTCGAGGCTATCGCGATGAAGTATCTCTTTCTCAGAATTATCTTTGGTGAAAGACGTACTTCTAAAAATTATTCTCTCTCACATGACGATGTTTCCAAATTTAAGTGTTCCATTTTTCTCCTGTAAAGAACAGAAAATTATTATATTAAAACTTATTTCCAATTTATTTCTCTAAACAAAATTATTTTCCAAAATAAATACTCTAAGAAGCTGCACAGCTTATTGAATGAAAAAACAATATCGTAATTCATTTAATTAATAATTAATTTAATTTTATCTTTCTGTATATTTCGCGCTTTTAAATTAAGAATATTATAAAAGCTTAATGTCATATTATCTTTTCATATTAAAAAGAAAAATTCGAGTCAACATGATTAATTAATTTTATAAAGAGTATCTACCAGACCTATTTTTAATACAAATCATAAAATGATACAGCAGTTCTTATGAAAGAGATTAGTCTCATATTATATTATTATGCAACGTACAATTCGAAAGTTTGATTCAGAAGCTTCGTTGAAGAAATGTTTTGTCTTTTTCAAAACTCCAAATTATTTTTTACCTTCATTTCGATCCATCATATTTGCTTAACGGTTTCCTCTTATTTACTATGCGAGATGCCTCATTGATAAAAAAACGAAACAACTGCTTTGAATTGTCAGACTGCTGTTGAACTATGGACCCGTACCGTGCTGTCTCATTCTAATCCATCACAGTGTGACGTAGCGTAGCGATATTTTTCCACGATTTCGAAGGCTGAAGTAATTACGCACTTTAACACAGTCGTTATGACTCACATACTTTCGGAACTTAAGAATCAGCATTTTTTTGGAACACACAATCTTCGATTAAGATATTTATATCTGTCTTATCGCTGGCTGGACATTGTTGATGGAACGTGATTCTCTCAAATCGCGCAAAAAAATTCTGCTATTTAGATCGGCTTATTTAGAGCACGTGCTAAGTAAATACTGCTTGCTTATTCAAGTGCTGAATTCTGTTTAATCGATTGATGCGACGATAAGTAGTACTCGCATTCATCGACAATGGATAATAATGCAAACTGTTAAAACTTGTAATAGCTGTGCTGTAATATTTTTCAATAAAGAAGTGATATAATTTTTTTTGCATAAAAAATAAATTTTGGCGAGATTTTTACGAAAAAAAAAATTGGCAGCGGTGGGATTCGAACCCACGCCTCCGAAGAGACTGGTGCCTTAAACCAGCGCCTTAGACCGCTCGGCCACGCTACCAGATATGATGATGCTTTCACACAGTTCTATTTTCCAAAAAATTTCTATTATCATGTTATTTTTAGAATTTAAATGCAGGAATAAAATAAATCCATAATTTAAAACCTGTTTTAAAAGTAAAATTGTTTTTTAAATAAATTTATACATTATGAGTTTATTTTATTCCTCAAAATTCTCTAATCTGTAAAATTATACATATGTGTTTCGCTCTTAGATATCTTCTTCCACATTAAAGAATAAATTAATTGCAAAATTTGCGAGAAAATTAAGATAAAAAATAATTTTTAAATTGATTTATAAACTTTTCATTATCGAGAAAGTGCGATCTATTGTATATTTATTTTGTCTGATGTGTATATGCCTGAGAAAAAAATGGTATAATATGGTCAGATGTAAATATATATAATTA